CACACACACCATATGTGGAAATTACGTCGTGCACGATATACTAACACAATGCCAGCCGCTTATTAATTATTATTCTTATGAACTAGGTCATCGTGCCAATTGCCTCTACCCGTCCAAGTAGCACCTGGGCACGTGAATGGGCTTTGGCAATAAACACGGAAGGGGTTAAACCTGAAAATCCTGATCTAGAAACATGATTAATACACAAACATCGAACGGACTAATATTTCACTATTTTAATAAAAGTGACTCGACTTTGTAAATATAAAGCTTTAAGAACAAATACTGAAAAGTAAAATTGAGCAACTATGACGCAAACATGGTGCACTGCTAATATCAGCTGGCAACGAAGGGTCTCACGCCCCCTAGACTTACGCCAGACGCTACATACCACCCACCCCGCCTGGACGTCGTAACGCCAGGACAGAGTGCACCCCTTCGCTAAGAGCGCTACCCGCCCGTCCAACACGTTGCATCCAACGGTGTCAGATTGACGGACGCCCATAGTATAGACAAAAGGACTGCAGTTTAGAATATGGTAACATATTTTCATATGTTCCGTATTCTAAAACTGCGCCTGCAAAGGCCTAGTAATGCATGGGTATATCTCCCAGAGATGGTGTTCACGGTCTTATGCCGCGGAATCCTTGTAACTAATTTGATTAATTAAATAATAAAAAGGATTGAGTTTAAAAACCAAAAGGATTCCCACCGAATACTAGTCAGTGCATCGTCATATTTACTCTCGCGTCGGAAATTTCTCGCAACACTAATTTAATAAAGGCAAAACTCTAATAAAAAGGAATTTAATGTCAAAATTGAATTTGATATTTTATTAAAAGCAAAATGACTAATTAAGAATTCTTTACAATGAAAAAAGAATTTATTATGAAAATTAGTAAAAAATTAAAACATCCTCGGGCGATTCCCTCCTCAGAGTAACTTTTCAAGAATACGCAAAATGTGTTGAAATAGATCACTCTGACTTGGAAATCTACCCGTCACGAATTGTCTTCTTGCACATAAATTGTTCAATTTTACATGAAATGAATTGAATTTTACTCCTCGTAAAAAGATCTCAAATTATATTTGAATTTACAATGTACAAAATGTAATGAAATCAATGTAAAATCATAATTAATATGTATATTCAGTATACATATTATATTACCAATATTATATCGATTTGAATAAAAACTAAATAAAATTGTTTCTGTATTAAAATATTTCATATTCCACATTTAAGAACATTTAAGAGCATTCATATATTTCATAAATATCTATTGGAATATGTGGAATTGAAATAATATTAAAACGCGGTGTACAAGAAGACCTAGCCTGAAGTAAATAAAATAAAACAATAAAAATGTTATTACTCATGGGTATAATCATACCCATGGTCACTATGCTTGCGAACCACGTATACAACCGGTAACCCGTGTCGATTCGGACCATTCGTCCTACGACATGATTGGGCACCGGAGGAACCATAAAACATGCGACTCACCGTTCGCAGATATACTCTTCTTCCGATAGTCAAGTAAGAGGATGGATAACACCAGGTAGGAGGCTGCCTTGTAGGAGAAGATGGAAGTCGTGAAGAAAATTCATCTGTAACAAAACAAAAAAGAATTACGGTTAATTTTGCAAATTATCAATTTTTATTCTAATAAAATTATATATGAAATTGAATTTTATAAAATACTAGCAATAGCAATTAAGAAGAACTCTCAATTATCAAGTATTGTAAATTATTCTATTTTAATAAAAAGCAATTAAGTGACGTACCAAGACGGAAGTCGTGAAGAAAGCCATCATCAGGATATCCAGGAACTCGGCAAAATCAAAAAATTCATCTGTAACAAAACAAAAAAGAATTACGGTTAATTTTGAAAATTATCAATTTTTATTGTAATAAAATTAGGTATATATAAATTTGGATTTTATCAAATATTAACAATGAAAAATAACTCTCAACTATCAAGTGTTAAAGTTGTAAATTATTCTACTTGAATTAAAATTAATTAAATAAAGTAATAAGATACTTACACTCTTTCCTTATGGAGCAACGCCCAAGACTCCTCTTCAGTGGTGCACTGACTCTAATACCGGATATATCGAGCAATTAAAAAAAAAAAATAAAAAATAAAAATATAGATATGAAATACTAGTAACGCGACCGTGAATAATTTCCGGCGAACAATTATATAGACTCTACTTTCGCGATGGAAAAAGAAAAATCAGAGCCGCGATGCTCTAGAAAATATTTTATAATGCGCAGCAAACACTGACTCTACTTTCGCGTGATTCCTAATCATACAAACCCAACTCTATTCAGGGCCAGTTCGCCCTTGCAAAAATCAAAACATTGGAAGTATGTTCGTATAAACACTGACTCTACCGACCGCATTGCGCGCGGCCACAACAATTCCTGAAAGAAAAACTTAGTGAGCAGGGATGGGCTGGGTGGAAATATACAAAACAACATTCTTCTTATTGACCTTTCGTAGCGGAAATACTGTTATTAATGGCTTGTAAATGAAAATATCTATGTTCGTGAAATATATTCGACGAGCACAAATATTGTTAAAGCTGAATATTGATCCTACATTGAAATAAAATGTTTAAAATAATTGTTGATAATTATTTCAATGAATATTACATCGATAGAAAATCATTTTGTAATAAAGATAATAGACTACTGTATTAAAGCAGAGGATTTTTTTTGTTAAGATTGTTAGCATACTACAAATTGTTGGAAATTCTATTACGGCTAGATTTATAAATTATCTAATTCTTTTCAATAAGCAAAATCCAATAATTAATCATGCTTAAACAGCATATGACTTAAAAACCTGATTCTATTTTAATTTAAACTTGCATCGAAAACTGGATATTATAATATAATTACTACGATTTAACAAAAATAGATTGTTTAAAATAATTAATAATTGCAGAAGAGAAGGATTCATTTGCAGTAGAATACGAATTATTTCAGTTTTGTTCTAGTTTAAAACAAATGTATTAAAATACTGGACGAAATTATTCAATAAAATGAAAAAGTAATTATTCTTTTTCTATGAATTGGTTAAAGAAAAAAAATGTCTCTAATCTTTTCTTTCTTGACTTTGGTAGCAAGTAATTATCAAAAATGCTTATAATTAACAACGACTCAATAAAAAACAAGTAATAATAAATGTTAATAATTGATTAGAATAAATTAAAACAATAAATTCTTACGAAATTCTATTTCAAACCCATAATATCAGGTGTCATGGCGTCCTTTCAATATTCATCAAATATCTGTAACAAATAAGAAATACCAATTTATGTCAATAAAATTTAATCAACAATAATAAAATTATTACTAATAAACGATCGAACTATAATTTATGCAAAATATTTTAATAGGTAGAATGCGCACCTACTACTTATGCGGAAGGATGCTTTTAACACGTCTTGTCACTTCGACGTTCGCGAGAGAAATGGCGAGAGCTTCCTTTTTGCCGAAGACCGATCAGCACCGTTCGGTATTATTCGGTAATGTTCGTCCCCAGCCGAACCGAAGCCGGTAGACGAATAGATCTCATAATATTACGATGCTCGAAAAAGAACGTTATTAAATATCAACAATAAATTGTGTGAAACAGGATTAAAGACGTTCAATATTGGTTAGGAAATTAACGATATAAAAGGGAAAGTAGTTCAAATTCTACTGTTCCAACCTCATTATGAAATCGCAGCAAGAGCACAAATTTTCAACTCTTGCATTTTTGAAGAAAATGCCGAATTAATGTCAAAAATCAAGAATCCAGACTTCTCTCCGATATTCTTTTCTGTTTTTTGTACTTTTAACACCAGATCGGCAATTTAATTTAATATTTGAAGATAATTTAATCTTACCTGTTGCAGACACGTGAAAGACGGACGTAGCTTCAGAGAGAAATGATGCACTGCGTCACACTTCGCACTCCTCACCCTTCAACGATGAATCTGATTGGTCGAAAAGGGTGGACGCCATAATGGAATGACCAATCACAGGCATTGGTAGAAACTTCGAATTGTTTCGAAACTTTAACATTAAAATAACGGAAAGATTCGTTAAACATTATCAACGCCATATTGAAATAAAGTCAAGATTACATTTTTCAACCTCCAGCACCAAAATATAGGGAAGAAAGTAAAAAAACCATGAGATATTAACGATTTTTAATAAATTATCATCATAAAAGCAGAATAAATGAAGGAAATATTATTTTATTTCGTATCTATACTGGCAGAATAGGTAAAAGCAGGAAAATCAATTATAACGATTTATAACAATAAATTATGGTAAAAATGTATTAAAAGCATAAAAAAATGTAATAATATTCAAGAAATTAACGACATACAAAAGGAAAAGTAATTGAGATTTCACTATTCCAACCTCATTGTGAATTCGCAACAACAGCAAAAACTTTCAACTCGCGTATTTTTAAAGTCAACGCTGAACTAATGTCAAAAATCAAGAATCTAGACTTCTCTACGACTTTCCTTTCTATTTTGTGAACTTTTAATACTCGAAAGACAATTTAATTTAATATTTGAAGATAATTTAATCTCACCTATACAACCGCGTGCACTCAGGACGAAGCGTCGCATCGAAGGGAAGTAACGTACTAAATCAGACCTGTGCACATTGCCGATAACAACGATTGTTGATTGGTTGACCGGATAGCAAGTAACTGCCATTGGTGGAAATTTAAAATTATGTAAATAAACGTTGAAATAATAAATAAAAAAGAAAAAATTGTTTAATGTATTTTCCAAACTTCACTATAATACATATCTTGTTTTAAGCTTTAGTTATTTGTAATTAGAAAAATATAAGTTGAATACAGTTTAATACGTTTACACGAGAATATTTGAAATGATTATATACTATAGTTCGGATTATATATATTATATCTATCCGATAGTATATAATTCCAAATTATATACAAAATTTTCTGAAATTCAATAATTAAAAGATATGTTATTTTTTCTACATCTCTTTTACTTACATACATTAATATCGTCAAAATCAAAGCTTTGAAGCAATCAGACTTAACATGCGCAGAACGTACGAAAACTTGTATGACAGATATGATCTCTCGTTGAACAAATAATAGAAAAATAGATTAATATGACGTATATTGATAAGTATTGTTGATTTACGTATGAAAATGGTTGAAATAGGAGTAAATTTAAAAGCAGTTCGTGATAAAATTCTTGCTGCTTGTGCTAGGAGACCTGGAGTATGTAATGTGTTTTTATAACCAAATAGAGTAGTATTTAATTTAATAAATATATAATACATTGTATACATTATATACATATATAAGCATAATATGTGTATACATATTAAATATAAAATTATAGTCAGTCCTTCTGTTACAGGAGTATAACTACTTTGAGCCACGTTTAGTAGCTGTGAGTAAATTAAAACTACCTGAATTAATCATACAAGCTTATGAAGCTGGTCAAAAACATTTTGGAGAAAACTATGTGAATGAATTAGTAGAAAAGGCAAATAATCCAAACATTTTAGAAAAATGTAAAGAGATACGTTGGCACTTTATTGGTCATTTGCAGCGCAATAAAGTAAACAGGGTTCTAAGTATACCAAATTTATATATTATAGAAACTGTAGATAATGAAAAACTTGCAGCTACATTACATAACTCTTGGCCTAAGTTTAGAAAAGTCGAAGAAGAAAAATTAAAAGTAATGATACAAATTAATACCAGCAAAGAAGAAGGTATTATATATGACACTGCCAAAGACAATAAGTTATTTTTTAACATATAATTACATTTTCAGAAAAAAGTGGCTGTGAAGTTGAAAATGTTTGTTCCTTTGTAAAGTATGTTATTGATCATTGTCAGAATCTAGAATTTGTGGGACTTATGACAATAGGAATGTTTGGATATGACCTTACAAAAGGCCCAAATCCTGATTTTTTGTGTTTAAAAGAATGTAGAAACGAAGTTTCTAAAGAATTAAATATTGATCCAACAAAAATAGAGCTATCAATGGGAATGTCAAATGATTTTGAGCATGCGGTAATTTTAAAAAGACTATTTGTATACTTCTTGTAAGTATGGGTTAATGCATCAAATTAATTTTGTATAGATTGAGCAAGGCAGTACAAATGTTAGAGTGGGTAGTGCTATTTTTGGAGAAAGGCCAAAAAAGGAGACTTAGAAACAATATATGTATATTATCCTTTGTACAATATTATTACAAATATGTTTTGTATGTATAAAAAGGTAAGTTAATTAATATAAAATAGAATGAGAGGAAACATTAACACTTATTTTTACAACTGTATGATTGTTATCAAAGATGAGATTTATATAAATGATGATTGACTATGATCTTGGTATAATCCTAGGGAAGGTTAAAGAAAGCCAGAAGAGCTAAGAAAAACTAGAGAAAGATAGGGAGAGCCAGGGAAAATGTACTTTCTATATTTGAAGAGTTATAATATGTTATAAAAGAAATGATAATATTAGATATTCTTTCCTTTATCTATATTTTAATGTAATTTTGCAAACATCAGCTACTAATTACTGTATTCAGAAGAAATTAGGAAATAGATCATCATTATATATGTGTATTGCATAATATGTTACATTATTTTATTATTTCCTGATAAACTTTGTTTACTTGCAAATTATTTAACTAATTACTTTAGTAAATATCGATAACATACACTACTGTTTACGTATGAATTGTATACATACAGTTAAATTTAGTTACCTATCATCAGCATACATTTTTGATAAAGTGCCAACTTTAAAACAGGAAGGCGGTCTCAAATGCCATACAAGCTAATCAATTAAATAAGATACTAATATACTTATGGGTGTTATTTTTAAACGATAACATCCTCAAAGATTGCATCATAAACTGCAATTAAAGATTGAGTATGTAATACGTTCATTTTTTTGTCTGAAGAACTTTTCACATGTAACATAATAATTAATTATATTTCTTTCAATGGGTGCTACAGATGGTTCCTCCATTCTTTTTTTAATTTTACTTTTAAATACATTGAGCGTGAAAAATAGTATTTAAAATTTACCGAAATAAAAAAATATTTTTTTATAGTTTACTTGAAATTCACGCTTTCTTCTGTTATTAGTTCTTCTCATACGATAAGCTATTATATAAAATAATGTGTATTATACCTATTACTGATGTGTATGGTGAATGAAAATTAGGAGCATTAATTGTAAAGTTTAAAGTATTTTTATTATATGAACAATAATATGGAGATTCAAAGTCTCGTTTATCGACAAATTCTCTGTTTCTACTTCCAAGAAAATATTCTACAATTGTCTGTTATTTAATTATTTCAAGTATTGAATATTTCCCTTAAGGAACAACTTTCTTATCGAAGAACAAAATAAAGGGAATAATTTACACGTTGTTCTTTAGAAGCAGATCAAGAGAATCTGACGCTAATACGAGACTTCATGTTTAATGAACAGAGATTCAACAGTTTTTTTTACGCTGAAAATCACTTAAAATTATTCCTCCTCTTCTTCACCCGTACCAGTCAACATTCCGATAAGGCTTTGTGTGTCAATGAACCCTTTGTCGTCAATGTACATGTTATCATATGCATCGTCGACTTCTTTCGAAGTAAATTTGTCACCATATGTCATCAAAGCGTGCCTCAATCTATGACAGAAATACAATAACTTTATTTTACCAGGAAATATTTCCAAAAATATTGACAAATATTTTATGTTTAAAAAAAGATACGTGTCTCAGGGGATGTGACTTGTCAGCAGAATGCATAATCAGTCTTAGATCGTACATATCAAGTCATCACAGACACAAAACATGTATCTTATATTTTTTTCTACTGGATTATATGTATATATGATAAGAAGGAAAATGGACGAAGGAAATAGAAGCAGGCTTATATGAAAGGGTAGTAAGAATTTTTTTACCGGGTGTATATGTACGAATATGTTGTTAAGCGAGGACTTGCGAGAATTAGAACTTCAGATGATCCCTCTGTTGGTGAATACACGAAGTATCGTCATATTTTCATTACTCACCTCTCACCATCAATTTTACCATTTACATCAAAGGTATTGAAGGCGGCAATTACAGTTTCGTCGTCATCCGTACCTGAGATGAAAAAAATTTTAATTAATTTAACGTATTACTAAATTATAATTATTAAATCCTTCTTCAAATTATAGGTACTGCAGCCACACTGACCATTTTTATATTAAGCATGCATTTATCCAATTTGGTAAAATGATACTCAGACAAAATAATGGCCTTAGGGAACTACAATTCGAATAAGGATTAAAGCGATAATTATTTTAAGAATTTTGTACCTGATCCCGACATACGAGTTGCAAACAGATTTAGCAACTGGGTAAAGTTGATGGGCACAGGTGCTTCGTTTAACATCTCGTCAAGTTCTTTATCAGTAACGAGACGACCCACATTATCAAATGTCTGACGGAGGTCGTTCTTTCCAATTATACCATCTTTGTCTGCATCCATAAGTTGGAATGCCTACGAAGACAAATCGTTCAACATAAAATATATTTGTTTAAATGAATATTCATTAATAATTATAATTGATTGTATTTGGTATACGTATATACCTCCTTAAATTCGGCGACTTGTTTCTGTGTGAACATAGAAAACACACTGGAACCACTGCGTTTTGCTTTGCGGCTACCACGACTGCTTGCTCTAGTTGAACCAGATTCTTTAGGTGTACCAGTTGGAGTTGGTGGTTTCTCCTCCGCTGGAGCTGGAGCTGGTTCCGGTTCAGGAGGAGGAGCCGCCGCTGCCTCCTCCTTCTTTTTAGTCTTCTTCTTCTTCTCTTTATCCGCCTAAAATTCATTGTAATAAAGTCAACTAAGTATAATAATTAATATTTAGGCAGATTTTTGATAACAATTATTATAATATACACTATTATTTAACGAAAACTGATAAGACAATTAATCGTAAGACAAGTGCCTATCGCGTAGTTATTAGGAACGACGTAACTCGGGTGGACGTAAGCCAGGGGTTTGCTATATCTAATTTATTTTAAATTATGGGACTGATATGTTTAATTTAATTTTATTTGATTATTAACAATAAAACAACCAGTACTGAACGTATATTTATTTTGAAATTGAAAATAAAGTGAAAAAATAAACAAAGGGTGGAAAATAAATTGGCATACATAATAAAATTATCGTAATAAATTCCACAATTTAAAATTCAGAAACATAGATTCTATCATTTTAACGGATTTGGTTCTAATATCTTAATTTATTTAATTAAATTCTTCCAAAAATTAATGTCCATTATAAATTATTTATGAAAAAAAATTCAGGTATAACAGTTAAAATAGAAACAAATAAAAATGTTCTTCCCATCAAACCCTAATTCGGTATTCAGGAAACTGTAATTGGGGTGGTCGAACAATAAAAGTCTGACGTGCCAGTTATTATCTAATGTTTAACTGGCAGTGGGTTAGTGTAAATAACTTGGAGAGAAATTCGGAAGGCGTTGCTCATAGATACTAAAAATAGGATCATTCTATCATCCATGGTATGGCTGAAAAGAAGCCAAGACATATATAGATCGTTTATTTCGTACGGCCTCTCGAGTTACTATAGTTACGTAATTCTCTTATTTTTATAATATATATAACGAATACAGGGAAATTAACTGAAGATCATATATTAAGTTCAATCAAGGACAACTTAAGAACGTTATATGTATCAAATAAGTTCTAAGAAAGATACCCTTCAAGAAATAGACTAAATGACTATTTTATTAGATTTTTTATATCATAAATATGTATTCTTTATCTAACTGTAATCTTACAATTTTCAATGAAAGTAAAAAAAATTCTCTCTTAATTTTACTTAATCAACTCAATAAAGAACCTTATAATATAGAAAACTGGAAAAAGTGTCTAAAAATTTTTAAAACACAGTTTAGAAGAAAGCAAATAATAACATCCATCTACGGAATGGCCAAACGCCAAAAATCAAAGGAAGATCACTGTTTACACTTCATTAGCACAATCTGCGAATGTCTTTGGTGCAATTTAGCGCTCTGATGAATTCATCACTTGGCATACAATTCCATCACAGTTTCTGTAAAAGTCATCGACTTTTCTGAAAGTTTACCCTCCTATGACCGATCAAACATACATCCACCACTAAATCACATATCGTGTAACATTCCTTCTTTTTTTTTTTTTTTTTTTTTTCACTTCTAGAGGAAACTTAACGAAGAATATCTTTCGCGTAGTTCCTGGTGGTACTCGGCACTTTACTTACCATGTCTACAGTTGGTTTGTAAGAGGATGGTGCGAGATGGTCACAACGAACCAACTGTCGGAATCATAGAGGTGAACTTGGCTAAGTAACTTTGGTGGATCTCCCCCACTACATTTCTGGTGCTTGAGCAGGGGTGCCTTGCCCGGGTATAACGCCAACGCCTATCTGACCATATTTAGTGCGAGCCATCTCAAAATAGCAACCCTTTCGATGTTTCAACTAAAACAGTTTGCTGAGGATTGTGCGAACAACGAGAACTTCTTACAGACCCCTTTATGTAGCTGAAATTTGCTTTACAGAATGAAAATTTAAGTCGAGTATAGGTACCACGGAAGAAGAAAGTGGTCTTGGGTGTTGCGCCTCCACTGGTGTCATATGCACCCCGCCTAACAAGGAAATTAGTTTCTTCATCGGTTTTCTTCCGTTACCACATTTATAGTTCTTCGAAGTTTGAACATAATGTGAATTATATTATCGTAGTATATTCAGATAATCCTTGAGTCGGGTGAGTTGTGACCCAGACCCACGAAATTTAAGTTGCATAATTATGCAACAGCATTGTGACTCATGTTATATAGTGTAAAATTTAGAAAATGAATATAACATGGAATATAAAATTAAATTTGGACAGTAATAGTCTCGGTTGTCTGAAGATTAATAATTTAGAATCGCTTCTTTGTCTTTACATTTGGAAAATCATAAAATGTATTTTGAAAAAATTAAAAATCATACAATACTCGTGATTTTTATATGAATCTCTAATACGATGTTTATAAATTTTAACTTGAATAAAATACATAATGTGTTAAGTGTGATAATTAATTAAAATTATTTAAAATATTATAACTGATATACTATTTTAATATTGATCGTTATATTCGAAATGAATTTTCGATTTGTACACCAATGCCCAAAGCACGTGGCTTCTACAAATAACTGTCCAATGTTTGAGAGTAGAAAACATCAATCTATTTTCTGTACATCACCAAGTTTTCAATATATTTTCAATTAACTTTTACATTATTACATTAGATCCCATTTGCAGAAAACTATAACGTTCAAGGAATTGTATTGGAATTATTTTCAATGTTAATAATCACGTGAAATGTTCTTTATTTTTTTTAATCGATACTCTTACCTAATTGCTTATGATTATTTTTATTTTTATATAAATGAACAAACGATAGAAAATAAAATTGATACTGAAGAAAAACCAATCATTATTTTTGGCTGATCCAAGAGGATAGTAGGTCGCCTGCAAAGAAGATATGTAGTATCTATCTGCTGTTTAAAAACGTATTCTTAACATACATTGATATTACTGTTAATAGCATAACATTGCTGGTTATTATTATCATTTCAAGAAAATATAAGTAACCCTTGATTTTATTGAATGTTCGCTGTTTTTTAATTTCTTTATTTTGTATATCATATTATTTATTGCTTAATGGATAGTAGCATAGTTACTAATGATTAAGTTTTATCTCCCATATATTATTTATAAGAAGGGAAAATCTCGGTTTCAGTATTTCCAAAAATTATGAAACTTTATAAATATCTAAGGGATGTTCTAATTATAATAATTTTTTTATTATCCGAAGAAATATTATACAGGTGCACCAGCTATTAATATTGTGTATTCTATCTGGTAGATAACATAGAAATACAAGACAGTCACCGCTTTTCGTCCTCAAGAACTCCCACCACAACCGTTCAGAGAAATAAGAAAGTACAGGTAACTTGGCCTTAACTGGTTTTCATTGTCAGGTAACAACTTGACGTAGCATGGGTTAGGCTACAAGTTAGTTACAAAATGTTTTAAATATTATCTTTCAGCAAAAACATGTGGTGGTTACTTTTGTTAAGTTATGGTAAGTGGAAATCCCGTAAAATAATATCAGTTCATTCTTAAATAAACGTTTAACAATAGGCACTAAAAATTGACCCATCGAAAAAGATGGTCACGAAATCTTTCCACAAAGAGCATGAAACCATAATACGATTATTTAAAAAATGATTATACGTATGATTTTTAATTTGATATATTGTTAAAAGTGATACATATGGAAAATTGAAGTTAACTTTGATTTTTCTTTTTACACATCAACAATCCTATGTTAATTTCAATGTCGTAATATTTTATTTCAAAATATACGATTTCTTCAATGCTAAAT